AATAGCATCTGCCAGTACTGGGACCACATATCCCAGAGAATCCAAAATAAGCCCCAATTCTAAATCTTTCCTACAACTCCAAGAAATCTAATGAGATGCCATCAAAAACGCCAACTGGTATATCCCTTTAATTACTTATGATAGCCACAATGGCTCAACATCTCAATCTCAGGGAATATAAAGAATCTTAATAAAGGAGTGAGCAGGGAGAGGGAAGGGAAAGAATATGATATAGGATGGGGGTCAACAAAATTGTTTTTGTAAATGGCTACACTGTTTTAGGCTTTCCAGGAAATATAGTTGCTATCACAACTTGTAACACAAGGCAGTCATAACCACTATGTAAAGGAATGAGTGTGGCTCTGATCCAATAATATTTTATTTGCAAAAACAGGCAGCATACCAGATTTGGTCCATAAGCTATAGTTTGCTGGCCCCTAATACAGTACATTAACATCACACCTTTTTTGCTATCAGAGAACATGCTGACATTTCAACAGCAAAAGCCATGGATGGATATGATAATTACACATTCTAATAATTAGATTGCAAACATACTGTTCAAATATCAGAGAACATACTCTCTCATCAAAGAAAACATTTTGATAAAGAAATATGTTGTACAAATTTTTCCTTAATTAAATAAGAAAATTACAATACTTACTGTAACACTGGTAACTCTGAAGTAATCATTGCTGAAGAGGTCCTTCCACAATGTAGCAAAGAAGAATCAAGTGCTGTACAATTCAAAACTTTTAAAACAACCTCAAAGGCAATCCTGTCAATTAAAAAAAAGAGAGAGAGAAAATTATTTTAAATAATAAGTAAAATCTTCATGTTAAAATAAAATGAAGATGTGAGAATACATAATCTGCAATCAACGTACACTACCAGTGATTATACTGCTTGGTATTTATCCAAATAGGCTGAAAATTTATGTCCACAAAAAAGGCACACATAGATGTTTATAGCAACTTTATTCATAATAGGCAAAAACTGGAAGCAACTCAGATGTCCTCACTAAGTAATGGAGAAATAAAATATGTCCATCCTGATAGTAGAATATTATTTGGCATTAAAAAAAAAAGAGCTATCAAGCCATGAGAAGACATAGAGGAAGCTTAAATGCATATTATAATACTAAATGAAAAAGTCAATATGTACTGCATGATTCCAACTATATACAACATTTTGGAAAAGGCAAAACTACGAAGATAGTAAAAGGATCAGTGGCTACTAGGGGTGGTGGGGTGGGAGGGAGGAACAGGCAGATCACACAAGATTTTTAGGGCAATGAGACTATTCTAATGATATACATGTATAACTAGGAATACGTATCATTATACATATGTCAAAACACATAGACACCAACACCAAGAGTGAAACCTAAGTAAAGCAGGAACTGTGGGTGATAGTAACATCTCACTGTAGGTTCATCAGTTATAACAAATGTACCATTCTGGTGTGGGATGTTGATAGTAAGGGAGGCTAGGCATGTGTAGGGACAGGGAATATAAGGGAACTCTCTGTACTTTCCCCTAAAATTTGCTGTAAACTTAAAACTGCTCTAAAAAATAAAGTCTAATTTTTAAAAAAATGTAACAGGAAAAGTAACATAAAACAGTCTAAGATGGGCCATGATACAATATCAAACAGAATAACATAGGTATAATTCCAGAATTTCAGAGAGATAAAGTACAAGGCAGTACAAATATATGGAGAGATAATGGAGGAGAATGTTCAAAAAATAATATAAGATGTTAAAACAGCTGTAAGATCAGAGAATTCCTAAGCAGAATAAATACACCAAAATACACAGATTGCTAAAAACCAAAGTTAAAGGGAAAATTCAAAAGGAAGGGAAAGAAATGGGACATATCACATACAGAAAAAAGAAAGCTAAGAAGTATATATCAGACTTCTTGTTGGAAACTACAAAAGCTGGAAGACAATGGAGTAACATCTTTAAAGTGCTGAGAGGAAAAAAGTCAACCCTGAATTATATACCAAGTAATAAAAATCTTTCAAAAAATGAAAGAAAGAAGTAACATTATAGAAAAGGGCAGAGTAGGAAGCAGCAAAAATAAGCCTCTCCAGTGAAGCAACCCTTAGGTTGACAAGAACTGACAAAAATCAACTTTTACAGAAATCTTGAATCTAAATAAAAATTTGTAACAAAGAGAAGAGTGGTTAAGAAAGTAGCTGCTAAATTTGGTGAAAAGGCACTACAGCGTTTTTGCTTACCTGCCTACATCCCCAATCCCCCAGCTCAACAGTGTCAATAGAGACAGCAGACCAAATACTTGGTTTGAGTTCAGGAGGTTGAGACCAGCCTGAACAAGAGCGAGACCCCGTCTCCACTAAAAATAGAAAGAAATTAGCTGGACAACTAAAAATATAGAAAAAAATTAGTCAGGCATGGTGGCACATGCCTGTAGTCCCAGCTACTCGGGAGGCTGAGGCAGGAGGATCGCTTGAGCCCAGGAGTTTGAGGTTGCTGTGAGCTAGGCTGACGCCATGGCACTCTAGCCCGGGCAAAAAGAGTGAGACTCTGTCTCAAAAAACAAAAAACAAAAAAAACAGTGAAATTAAGATATTCTTAGAAAATCAAGAGGTCACTATACCTGCCCTACAAGAAATGCTAAAGGGAATCCTTACGGCAGAAATGGAAACACAATAGACAGTAACTTAAAGCCATTAAAAGAATAAAGAATACTGGTAATGATTAACTATGCAGGTAAATATTATAGCCAGTATTATTACATTTTTGGTTCGTAACTCCTAATTTTGTTTCCTATATGACTTAAAAGACAACTATATGAAATAATAATTGTATAACTGTGTTAAAGGACAAAGCTAAATTGCTATCAATTCAAACAAGATAAAAATTTAGGATGGACATTAATTGTGATCACCAGTATAAGTACTAAGAAAATAACTAAAAAATAAACAGAATACAAACTGTATTGAAGGAAATGAGGAACAAAGCAGATATAAGACATACGGAAAATAATGAAATGGCAAAAGTTCTTCCTTATCAGCAATCACTTTCATTGTAAACAAAGTCGTCCATTAAGACAGACAGACAGAGAGATTAGAAGAATGGATTTTTTTAATGATCCAACTACATGCTGTATACAAGAAACACATTTTAGATTCAAATGGTTGACAGTAAGAAGACACAAAAAGATATTCCATGTAAATGGTGAAAAAAAGAGAAATGGAGTGGCTATACAATAAGTCCTCCATATTCACTGGGTTCTGAATCCTGTGAGTTAAACATTGGCAGCTTTTGGTATCCTCAGGGGGTTCTGAAACCAATCCCCTGTGGATACTGAGGGACAAATGGACTAATGTCAGACAACAGAGGTTTTAAGTCAAAATGTTTTACAAGACATAAAGAAGGGCATTATATTTGGAGGGACAGGAGGCCAATTCACTAGAAAAATAAGAATTATAAGATATATACACTAAACAGCAGAATCACAAAATATACAAAACAATGACAGAATTAAAGAGAGAATGTGCTACACCACATTCAACAAAACAGAACATCTACACACAAGACCAAAAGGAAAACAGAGGATGCGAATAACATATATAAACCAACAAAACCTAACACACATATACAGAACATGCCACCCAACAAGAGAATACATATTCTTCTCAAGTGCACATAGAGCATTCTCCAGGATAGATGATATGGTAGCCCATAAAAGAAGCATCAATAAATTTATAAGACTGAAATCATAGTGTCTTCTCTGACCATGATGGAATGAAGACAGAAATCAATAACAGAAGAAAAACTGGAAATATGTGAAATAAA